AAATAAAAAAAAAAGTGACCAAACAATAGTAGTTTCTTTGACTTTTCTTCTCTCTGGAAGAAAATGATACTTGGGACATGTTAGAGATTGCATATTAGGACAATACCATGGCGGTAGGGAACAAGACAAGGGATCAAGCAGACAAAAAACTACAAACGCACGCACAAGTTAGCTAGATTTTGTTTAGATTTTTGTTGCCATTTCACGTGCACAGCCCGTTCTTCTTTAATTTTCTCTCCAAAAGGTCAGTCAATATGTGACAATTCACATGTTCTTTATTTATAAAATACACACACGCCCAAACTTAAGGGTTTATCTAGTTGAAAAGAATTTGGCTATCGTATATATATAGTGAAATATCTCATATTTCCATATATTAATTTTTTTAAGGATCATACACTGGTATATAATCCTATCTTTACTCGATTTGTATGGATAAGAGTTAATGAGTGAGGAAAACGTGATTATAAATTTAATTAGAAGAATAAGAAGAAAAGTTGTGAAGCATAAATTTAAGAAATTGGAGGGAGTCAATTTAATTTTGTAATTATTATTTTTTTTTTCTTTTTTCTAATTGATATTCACACACTCCCCTTTAAAAAATTATTTACACTTAAAATTAGTCAAACTTTAAACCTAGTGGTTCAGGAAACACCATAGCCAAGTCACTTACCTGCTTAAACGAATCCTTAGGATTAATTTTAATTTTGCACTTAATACATTGAGTATGTGACAAAATCATGTACACTTGATATAATTAAATCTAACTTTTTTGTTTCTGTAAAACCCATGTCAAAGGCAATTTCAATTTCAATTTCAGTGCACTTGTTTTTACAAAGTCTGTCATGAAAAGTAAATGCAAATGAAATGAAAACAGACGGATGCTTCCGGAATTCGAACACCAATTTGCATTGGACCTCATAAATTGGCCTAGAAAGGAACCAGAAAGAGTACTAAACATAGCCTTATTAATTTGATGAAGCATTGCTATATTCATCTTCACAATTATACATATATATATATAAGAACATGTGACTCACTGTCAAAGATGGTGCTCGTATATACATAAGATGGTAAAAATATAAACTAACACATGCACTTGCTGGTTTTTGCAGAAACAATCTTTCAACAATATTAATTGAATTTGATTTTATAAGGTAGGATGGTAGGAAGTGAAGCCCTACCAAACCCTGTACTATTAGATAAAGGCGGTGTAGGGTAGATTAGATTGGCATCTGTAAATTGGCGTTTCTATCCCAACACAGAATCTGCGCAATATGTTGGTGTCGGGTTATTTTTCGCGTGCACATATGTATTCTTTACTTATTTGACTTGGTCTCTTTTTACTGCTCCACCGATCCCTTACTTCAAGTACACGCTTAGCAGTTGATATCAACAATTTCATATAGGAATTTATTCAATAAATGATGATAGATAATTATTCAACTAAAATTATTTTTAACATTACTCATATTACTTTCTATTCAATAATTCTTATCTAAATATTATAAAACCACATGTGATGCAACTTTTTGTCATTCTACAAGTTCATATGAGCTCTCTATTTTCTGACGCTCCTTTGTGTTAAATTAATTTGAGAAACAAACTTGATCATTTGAAAAGATATGAGAATTAATTGTACATTCAAAATTTTATGTCAATTTATTTATAGTGGTCTTTAATCTAACTTTATATTCTCTTTCTTTGGAACAAATTGTGATTAGTTTGTGTTATTTTATTTTAAGGTATACATGTGCATGTATTATATATATAAAAAAAATTAATATATAAATGGTGCATAACAAATTAACAATGGTCTTGCGTGTGCAGACATACACCAACAGCATCATGATTTTATTAGTTTGCGAATCTTGCATGAAGGTTGTTGATACAAGAATGATATTGTACCTTACGACTCTGGTGCTAACTTGTTAGGATGTATGTTTGGTACATGTACTTGGTCGCCTTTTCTTTTCATTTATTCTTCTTCATTTGCCCTTTTCTTCGGCTAATATAAAATATTTTTCTTTTTCTAATCAAGGTTGTTATGGCTAATATAAAATAGGATAAATTGCATTGACACTTTTTGAGATTTCGGTTAATATCACTAAGATGCGAGTCAAAGATTTTTTTTACAATGATATTCCTTATGGTTTCAAATGTCATATTTGTTCCTGATTATTAAATTCAATTAATTTACAAAATATCAGTCATATTAATTGACAAAATTACCCTCATCATTAAGTCTCTTTCTCTACCCTAATCTTTAACTTCTTTAACGCATTGGTCAACGTTACTCAATAGACAGTCAATAACTTTATTTACATTGACACCTTTTAAAGTAAAAAAAATGTGCATTGAATATATATATGTACATATATTCTAACATTCTTATCTGGTTTCTGTTTAATAGACACAGAATGCATTTTGTCCTCTTATGGAATTTCAAAAGTCAATTTATTGATTTGTTTATACTTGCAAAAGTTTTTAGTTGTGCTGTGTTTAACTTTCAAACACTATTTTTAACTTCTCAAACACTTCCTTACCACAAGGAAGAGAAAGCTGAGATAATTACATTTTCAGAAGAATTTTAAACACCTTTACACTTTGATTAAAAAATAATTTTTTAAAAAAAAAAAAAGGAAAGAAAGAAAATGATATGAATTTTTAGAAAATTATTCTTAATTTCCCTTATATTTTATTTGTCTTCCTATTTCTCATCATAACGAATAAGAGTGTGTAGGAAATATTATTATTCATCATTTCTTTTTATAATTTTAAATTTGCATTTAGTGTGAAAAAGAAAGTGACTTTCTAGCAATTTTCATGAAATCCAATTCCATTTAAAAAAATTTTGATTCCAAATACTAGAAATTTCATTTTGAATTCCAAATCCCAGCATTTCAAACACATCCTCCGAAGAATACTATCAACCAAAGCTCAACCTTATGATTTCAAAGTATATCTTTGCAACAATATCATTAATAAATTAATGAAAAATGTTATGTTTAGAAACACTGAATCGATACCGTCAAACATAGAGTTTTATTTTATTTCAATAATAGTTGAAATCCAGCTGTGAAGATAGAAAGTGAAGTAATGTTCAGAACAAGACATGGCAACAAACACATCAAAACTGATGGCAACCTACGTGGTCTTCAAGTATTACACAGTGTCACATTATCACATGTTATGACGTGTCTCGATCTTTTGATAAAAAATGCTCACGTAGAAAGACTAAAATTAAGGATCTTGTCCCTATTGATAAAACTTGATGGTGGTGATAGCTATGAATTGGAGATGAAAGATGGAACAAAGAGAATTTGACTGTTGAGGACATAAGAACCAGTTTGATGCAGCACAGAGTGACGAAGGAGAGGAATAATTCCCCAAGATTGAATGATGCTAAAAGCTTCCTGCCTATTTATACTTCCATGGGACCTGATAAAAAATAAATAAATAAATAAAAAAAGCCATTCCTAGATGCATCAAACAGTCATTACACTCTTTTGAAGTTGTCCCATGGAAACCCTAATATGCTGAATACTCCATCAAGCCAAGTTAATTCCAACCCTGCAGCCAGTGCAATCACCCCAAAAGTCGAGCGGTATGTTTTGAAGTTCCAAATCTAAAAGTTTATCGTGAGTCATTTAGGGCCTGTTTGAATTGTGACTTAGACATCAGTTCTTAAGAACTTAAGAAATAAAAAACTATTTTTAATTAATTATAAAGGACACTTTCTTAAAAACTGACTTTTTTTAGCTGAGATTTTGTAAAATGGTTCTCGAAAAATTGTCAACCAAGTAGATTTTTGTATAACTTTTTGATTTACAGTCCTCTGAAAAATAAAGAACTGTTTTCGAAAAATAGAATCAAACAAATTTCTGTACATTGTCTAGAAGTCGCATTGTTTGTTATGAGACGACTGAATAGTATGTCAAAAAGGTTATCTTTTTCCATAGATATATGGTGAAAAGACTTGGTGGAGGGAAGCGTTGAAGCATGTAGGCAAGGGCCAGACAATAGGCATTGATTAGATCCGCGAATAATTATGGTAGACTTTTGCAAATAAGTTTAGATCTAATTAAAGCTGTTTGATGTTTCAACAAATGATGAAGATTAAAGATAGGGTTGAAATGATAATAATACAATATTTTTGTGATTACTTGTGGATTCTCCGTAATCTAAGGTACTTCTTGTGTGATGTGTAGTGTGAGAAATCTTGATTGATATGTCATTAGATACGAATGGGGTCTTCAACCGTGACAACTAAACTAAACTAATGTCTCTTTTTCTAGGTATCACCTAATTTGGCATCAATGATTAGGGTTGGTACCATCTATAACAATAAATTAATGCTTGTTTAATTATTTTACTCGTGATTAGAATAACCCCTACGTTTTGATTATTAGATATTGACCTTCTGAGAGTTAATGTGATAATATATTAGAATTCTTAAAATTTTAATTTTATTTTTTTAAATAAAAATTTCAAAACTTGACGGAACCGACTAATCATTCAATTTGTCGAGTCCAGTTCCATCGATTATAAATTATTATTATCCTATTTCACATAACAAAACGTCACCTGAAATATCCGTAACCATGTGAGACATTCAATTAGTCAAGTCGAATTTTGTCAAATTATATAAATTATTATTATCCCATTTCACATGACAATTGGAGCCATTGAGCCAAATGCCAAATTTGGGTGATATATATATATATAGAGAGAGAGAGGGGTACATAGGCATCCATTATTGTCCCATGGAAACTCCAATCTTAACTATTTATTTGCAAAAAAAAAAAGTTGGTATTGGTCAAATCTTTAACCTTCTATTTGAAAAGAAGAACTAATACCCCTTGCAAAAAATCCTTCATTTTCACCAAAGAAATTGATAAATCGTAGCTCACAGTGTATGAAATTAAATTTATAATTTCATGTATGATATTTGTAGTAAGAAGCAAGTAAAGGAAAGATCAGAGGGGGTGCTTCACATATTATATACAAAGAAATATCATGACAAGCTTTTATTTTATTTATGTCAAACAATAAACAATAAAAATGTGGATAACCAATCCACTTTTCAAATGGCACACAAATGCAAACAATATACCCACCTCACCTATACATCAAATCGCCCACAATCTTGAAACCCATTTAGATCATCAGTCATCACCATATGAAAGCACACTACACACACCACACACACACACACACACACACAGATATGTTCCAATAAATAATTAAGAGAATATAAACATCAAAATTCTGTGTAGGAAAACCACAACTAGTATAATAAAGATCTGATCAGCAATGGAGATTTTCTTAACCATTTGGCCAAGACCCTGATTGACTTTTGAAGGCCAAAACTTGAGCTCTATTGAGAAAAATGGATGACTTTTGTGGAGGTCTGGCTCAAGGGTTACATCTTTTGAAGCGGATTTAAATTGTCCCTCACTCGAATCCTGTTCAAATAATTTAAGTTTGATACGTTAGCCTCAATACATAAGGCTCGAACACTCAATCTCTTCTTTGAAAGAGAGAACTTATACCATCTACGTTAGAGCTACGATTAATTTCAATAATTAAAAATAATTTAATAACAGCAACATGTAGTTACCTGGAGCTGTTTTCCGACAATAACAACGATGGTGTCGGGGCTGGTTTTGAATGATAAATTGCCACATTCTGATTGGACTCCAAACTCACATTGCTCGATCACAAGGTGGAGGCTGAGAGCATATTCACATGATTCTTGGACTTTTTCGGTTGTTGATAAAGATACTATATTTTGGTCCATCAGTGTATGGTGGCTGTATCTATATAAACTTACAATTGATTCTCTTCCTTCATTTCTCTTCCCGTTTTGCAAACTCGCATTTTCTGAGATGACCCCAACCACTTCTTCTGCAATGGCCTCCAGTCTACTAGCAACTTTCTCCATCTTTTGGCTGCAAAATTGGAAAAATAACTACACAGATCCTAGAATTTTATTCACATTACACGAATAATTTTATGTGTGTTGATCACAAAGATAAAAATTAATTAAAATTAAAACACGTGTTGGATAAAAAAATAAAAATAAAAAAATTTGGCCACTCGATCAGGGAGTGACTTAAACAGGTTCCAGAGGGGGCAATTGTCACTCAAAAAAAAAATTAATACCAATGAAATTTTAGTGTTGCCCCCCTAAATTATAAAAACATTTAACTTTTGCCCTCCTTGTCCAATTTCCTGGGTCCATCCCTGCACTCGTTAGAGGAGCACTCTCTCTAATAGCATGAGCAGCATTACTCAGCCTATGTTGAGTTGGGGTGGATGGGTCTTGGACATGAGAATTCAAAGGACTGGGTTTAGGGTTACCATTAAGCCTAATGCTATTTGGGCTGGCCCTGGGCCGACAGTACCTCTAATATTTTATGAAGTAGGCCCAGCCCTTGGCCAGTCCTAGTTGCAAGCTGAATTCACTCTGGATGTCCCAATTCCAACATGGGGGCATTTGGTTGTTCCTAGTGATTGTTGCTGTTATTGGGCCTTAACACCCTTTTACCAAAAATAAATAAAAATAACTTGGATTTTAATCTGGGCCTCAACCATTTATTAAGCCCAAATGTTTGGGCCAAGTGACGAACGAGCATGTCATTGTGTACTCAATATGAGCTGCTTAATAAAAGAGGGTATAAGGTAATGTGCTTGTTAACAAGGCCGGCCTACAAGGACCGACTTCGTTATACACTAACCAAATTCTAAGTAATCCAAGAGTAGGACATACCCGACTTTATTTTTTATAAGTGAAGAATGACGTATAGGTTGGTTACCTGAAATTTGGATAGTTTTGAGGCCCAAGAAATTGTTGGGCCCAAAGACCAATTGATTGATCTGAACGACGCCACACCAACCCTTCACAATCACAGCAGGTTTCCTCCAAGTCCAAGATTGAACGTAACTCCTCCACCAAGATTGCATGACCACTCACCATAAACACGCCGAACTTCGCAGCCGACTTCAAAAGCCGTTTCACAGAAATCCCATCTCTCGCCACCACCGACCCGTAATCAATGTTGGGCGGGGGCGGAACGGAGCTTTGTTGCAGCAGATGATCCGGCAGTGTTAGTTCCGGGATTTGTATTGATTTATTGATGTATTCCGAGAAGGTCGGACCGGCAGATGACCGAAGACCTTTCCCCGTCGGGATCGGGGACGGAAGAGATGGTGCCTCTGAGGCCATGGAAGTGTTTTTCGTATATGTGTGTCAGTGTGTGTATGTATGTTGTGGTGTTTTTTGATGAGAGAATAGATAAAGGAGAAGAGAGACCAAATATGAACGAGTCTTTCCAAGTGCTTTTTTCAGTTGCAAAAGCACTTTTGGATCTAAAGGTGGGGCTGATGTTAGCTATGTGGCACGTTTAGTGTAGGTAGTAGTACTATGCACGTCTTCCTTGTTAGAAGAACCGATCATTTCATTAATTGTGTGTGTGTGTGTGTGTGTGTGTGTGTATAAAGAATATTACATTAAAATTTGAAAACAGAACAAATAAAAGTAGAAGGATATGATGGAAGAGAGAGCCCACATAGAGAAAATTTTTATAAAAAAAAACAAACTTTATGACCAATTGTATGCTTAACCAAAACTTGGTGGTGGCTAGGACCATTCACTTTAAATGGAGTATGTTAATGTGCTCTGACCTTCCAAGTATTACGGTTTAACCAATTATGTGTTTTTTTTTTTTTTGACTTGCAGTAAAAAAAAATCTTTAATTCATGTATATATTTAGCAATTATCGGTTAGATTAGAATAGATATAGAATTAATTAAATTATACGGACGAATATTAATTATCTTCTAAATGCTATTCGTTGGAGTCTAATACAGCTTATAATTCGCTAGGGCTTAGCAACCGCCTGAGGCTGTGTGTGCATTTATTGGTGCATGATTGTGGGCGTAATACTAATGCATGGCGGTGGTGCAAAGTATTAAAATTTGCAAATGCAACCCAAGTCAAGGGTTTTGACTCTTGAGCTCCAACTGTAGAAGCTGAAAGTGCTCATGTATTGTTTGGAATGTTACCGCTTCAAACGGGCAGCGGATTAACATCATTTTTTAGCCCGTTGGAAGATGATAAGCATCCATCATCTATTGAGCCTAATGCGCAACTTTGGTCATTTTGGGCCAATAAAAGTAATGCTATTTTAGTCTTTTTCTTTTACAGAAAAGTAGGACACTTTTCATATTAGGATAATCAACAAAATCACATGCTGAGATGCATGAAAGTAAATGTTGGATATACGTCATAACATTTTTGTATGTGTATCACTTGTTCTTGAATATTTTAATCCATATTTACCATCCTTAAATAAATTATTTATCTGCTGAAATTTTCAATTGCAGTGACAGACATGCACCCAATTGTCTTATAGTATGAGGTATTGGGTGCATCTGAGTCTATTCTTTCTCCTTACAGATCATGGATGTCACTGGAAAATCCTTCATTTTCTTGCCAGACTAAGCAGTCTGGTATTTTACATTCTCTTTTTTGTTATTTTTTCCTGCTTGGTACAGCATGTTACATTCTCACCACCAAGGAACACCTAATCTCTCAGCTCCTAATTCTGATTGATCTCAAGCAAGCAATCATCATCCACTACTCTTCACAAAAGAAATGCCGGGTGAAAAATCACCCAACCCTAAGAACCACTACCATAGCAATTCCGCAACCTGTCGCTTCGACTGATCCTATGAAACATGCACAATTTAACAAGAAGACATTATACAGTATATGTATGGATGGTAAGAGACATGTTGGATGCTAGATTATAACAATAATGCACAGGAATGACTTCTTCACGGGCAACAACATAGCCAGACAATTTACCATTCCAGCTACAGCAAGAACATACATTCTGCAGTCACAAGTTACTACATCTGACACCTGCAACAGTACCTCTGGTTTTACAACTAAACTAAAGTACTACTGTGAAAACCAAACCTGGGCAAAAACCATGACATCTATACATAAACAACTCAATGTGAACTGTAAACCCAAAATGCCAAGATTTGAGATGGGGAAAATAATTAGTAGAATGTACAAAAAGCCTTTTTGAGTTACGCCTCTTGATCGAAATAAACGAACTCCAAACCCTCCAAGCAATGGCAAGGAACCACTAAGGCAGAAAAGCTCCTTGGGTTGGTTTGTTAGCATACACTGTTCTACCTTATTGATACTTTCTGTCACCATATAAATAGAGCATCCGTTTCCACTACATTCAGACAGACAAAGGTGGGAAATCATCTTCATCTTTCAGATGGTATGATGACCGCAGTGTAACCCTACAAGTCCAAAACAGATAAAGATTTTAAACAGAATCCGAATATGTCCAACAATACCAGAATTATTTTTCATAGATTTTATCATACCTATCCTGATTCATAACCAATACTGGTTTCGGCCTTTGGGTGCCTGGACTCAAAAGGCTTTGACTGGAAGCTTGAGCAAGTGAAGAGGCAGGGTTTGGTTGCCTGGTGCTTTCTGACAAGGGTGCTAACAATGGTATATGCCCATTGACATTAGAATGCACCTTTGCACCAAGGGAAACAGACTGGTGGATCTCAGAAGACCCAGACTTCCCGGCACTTTGATCAACACGGAACTGTGCTTGTGGCACTTCATGGTTGCTTCTCTCAAGCAAGTTTGCCTCCATGGGTGTCACTGCCCGGCCATTGTTACGAGGGGACCTCACTTGTGCCTGATTCCTTCCCCTCGGTGTGGAAGGCTTATGGTGTGGAAGCCGGTTCTGCAAAAATTTAACCACAAAACCACTTTTGAGATAATGAGGGTCACTTCCTGAACAAATATAACTAAGAAGAGGAGCTGCACATGACACCAAGATCAAAAACTGTGACCCGGATGACATGATAATTGTGTTTTCAACATAAATTTTGAACGTGCAAAGCTTCCAGATGAATAAGATGAGTATACCGTGTTCGGAAAATAGGTCCCTGTTCCTCTTGGTTTTGGCATTTCTTCCACGCCAAAGGCCGGACCAGGTATTAACAGTGTATTCATGGGGTACAACATTGGTCTTGGGATAATACCGTTGGCATTTGTGTGGGAAAACCCATTCCGCTTCACCTGTGATGAATTCCAGATCGTATGCCATGAATTCTTGCCGTGAAACTGTGAAGGCATTGGTGAAGGCATGGGTAAAGTAGGCGAATTGAAGGTGGACTCGTACAACCAACGACCATATTGCATACTGTTGAAGTGACTCTCATAATCCCCAGTGAGATCTGACAAGGAGTTCAGATATTCATCGCCTCCAGCAGTGCCTGCAGAGAATCGGTAACCAGGGTGTATATCTTCCAAACAAGCAGCCACAGTCGAGACTGAATAAATATCTTTTGGTATAACAGAAGTCAAGACCTCATGATTACCAACCAACTGGTTCTTGTCCTGGTCACAACCATCACTAATGCCGGTTCTTTCATCATGTGCTTGCAGCAGGCCAGAAGAAAATTTGTTTACGGTTGAATCAGAGTATTCTAGCTCTTCTGGGTCTGAATCTCCATATTTCATCTCTCCATTGCCCATTTTGGAGCCAGAGAAGTAGAGGTGAGGTGCATGATGTGCTGCTCCGAGCATAGAAATACTCTCCTCACCACTTGGAGCGGCAGATTTAAGTGAATCATTGGAAATGTTAAGGCCCCTAATTCTGGAGGTAGCGAGGTCCTCTGCATCCCCAGAAACACGGTATCCCAAAACAGCAGTTCCATGTACGGAACCCTCAGCTTCCGACAATGAGGTCGAGTGAACCACTTCCTTAGAGCCCTTTTGCTGTCCATTTGCCTGGCCACTTGTGGTTCTAGTCATTTTGATCTCCATCCCTGATACCTTACTGTTATTACCTCCATTTTGGGACGACCAGTCAGTATCCAACTTAAAATCTCCAGTAACACCAATTGAATTAGTGGGTCTAAATTCAGGAATTGCCTTATCTTCTTGACATGATTCAGTTTCTGAAAATGACAATGCAGGACCAAAACCATTGTGACCAGACATTGGTACAGGATCTTGAACATCAGGCCTCTGTCCGCTTCCATGCCTATCCAAAGTGTTTGAGAAAAATTTATGAAGTTCATCAGTTATTTTATTATCTGGCAGCAAAAGGATTCGCCCAAGTTTTCGAGCTCCATATGTGAAAGCACTTCGTATTCGATAGAAGTTTCCTGTACAGAACAGGCAAATAATCATTAAGGCTTTTTAAAAAGGTGGTAGAGTCAATATCTAATAGTTTGGTGCTTGAGGATAACTCCATGCCCAACATGTCTCATCTTTTTACAAAATTCCCAATAACAATCAATGCACAATGCATACAGCATAAAATGCAGTAGTGATGGCAACGGAGCGTGTTTCTCGCTCAAAACTATTTAGAAAACAACTCCCTACACTCTGTTCTGCACCCGTTTTTCACCCAACCCGCTCTCACCCGCAACCACCCTGTTTAAATCCCAACTCTTTTTTTTTTTGTTTTCCTCCTTATTTTTTAACTCAAATTTAAAATAAAATAAAATAAACCCATACTTAGGAATATAAACCAAATAAAAATTATTTCAAATTTTACACAAGTGTACAAAATTAACCAAATAAATATTAAAACATTCTTCCAGCAATAATTTTGTATCTAACATAAGGTATGAGGGCAAAATAATATTTTCGCATTATTTGGGGTGGGCGAACAGGGTGACCTTCCCCCCCGTCCCTGCCGCACACCCACGCAGGTTTTCAATATAAAACTTGTACGCGCCCAAAACCGTTCAACAGGTCTCCAGAATCATTTTAAACAGGACAAGACAGGGCAGATGCCGGATGGAACCAGTTATTTTGCCATCCCTAAAAGACGGGTTTTGGTACTTTTCATGGAAGTCCGAAAGAAAGTTTAGATTCTCCTGAAAATATCCACTATGAGAGTTTGCACACACAAGATTCAAGATTACCATAGAAACTTAGCCAGTCTTTTCCTATAAAAGAATTTTGGCTTCTACCTTTGCTGACACTGCGGCCTAGGTTGTTGTTTTTTTTTAGAGGATCAACTATGTTGAGGTGCTTTGGAGGAAATGTTCGCGAGTTTATGTCAACTCCCCTTGAAGGAACTGAGAACATGTCCACACAATCCCTAAGAAAATCATTACTGAGAAACAGATCATTCCCACCGTTATCAGGTGTCTCAGCTGCAAATTGAACAAAAAGAATAAATTATCCCAATTACATGACACAAAGAACCATATGCAATGGTACCAATGCTAAAAAGATGTAGCTCACCGACAACCGCTGGCAATGAAGATACGCGGACTGGACCAGTTAGGCAAATGCAGTAGTTGTCCCAATCAAACTTGCTAAAATAGTCCAAAAATGTATATAGAACCTGAAATTCCATAGCACAATCAATAAGTTCATTTCATGTCAAATATACATATAGAATACCGCAATGATTCCCATGAGCACTCACTGCTAAAGGACCATTCAGGGTTGAGTGGAAGAGATTGAAGATATATAGAACCAAAGTCTCCAAAGCATATGTCGAAATCAAGCCATGATGAGCACCAAGAATACGACTTTCATAATAGCACCAAGCCTTAGTAAGTATGATACTGCGTTTAAAGAGATGATCTTTGCCAATGAGCTGATCAACCTGTATTAAACGCACCAAAAATGAAAAATCCAGTTCGTACTCAAAATTACCAAAAGCAAACACACATATTCAGTCCATATATATCTGGATTTTCAACTCTTTAATGGAATTCTAACCTAATCTGTAGCACCTACACAATGAATATAAAAAAATGGACTTGTGTAGGTAAACAACACACCATTTACACTACAACACTGTAATAGAAATTATGATGCATGGTACAATGTACAGATGTGACAAGTTCTAAAAAGAAAAGGTAGGATGCATCTGCAGCAAGCACACAGTAGAATAAAATTTATAACAACTAAAGACAGACATTCACTTTGTTATAAATCTATCAAATATTCTAAGTGCCTAACTTGAGAGTAAAATATACAATAGAAAACTGAGGGTTATGTCCGACATGATTAAACCCTCAAAATTTCTTCTATACCAAGAGTCTTGCCTAGTGGTATTTCCTCCTCACACATGGGAGGTTGAGGGTTCAACTACCCATATTGGGGTATTACTGGGTGTGTGTAGTTCTTACCTATCGACACATATATATATCATCAATCTAAAAAGGTCAATAAATTAGAAACTTTTGCAATGTTTTCTGTAGAATGTATACTCCGATGATACTTTAAGATGCCACATCTCAACAATATTAAGGAAATGTCAAACAAAAGTCTCAGAAGTATCTACGTACCAGAAATACGTGAATACATGTTTGGGGCATGATTTGAGTAGCGATCTGATACAAATATGACACCACTAATAAGACTCTCTTACAGAAGTACCCGTACTTCGTTTGTAGTATTATAATAACTTGAATTATTAGATAGTTCTAGAAGCAAGATTACTTCTGCACTACATTATATAAAAGCAGTGACTGTTATTTCCCTCCTTACAACTCCATTTTTTTCCTTAATAGTAACTTATTATTCTTGTAAATTACTTGTTATATAATTAAGGCAAAAAATAGTCCTTTACTAATTGGAATGACATCATGGAAATGATATTCCTTTTATTGCTTGCACCTACCAGAAGGAGGAAAGATCCTTAATTACTGATATCGAGAAAGCAAATGCTCCCTAATGTCAGCCCTATTTATTACTTTGCTATCCAAGTGGGATGAGACTTTGCCAGAGTTTCCAGATGAGCAAGGCCTGGAGGACGTATTACCAGTGGAGATGGCATATTGAATGGAAAGAATAAAAGCGAAGAACGTACTGGATTTACCAGCGTGTGCAAACTACTCTCTACTTCCCTATTTATTGCTTATGCATACTTAATTCATCTTTGCCTTACATTTTACCACAATACCAACTATGACCTATAGAGTTTGTGTACTAAGTCATATTTAAAATTATACATATTACAGTTATCGGGTTTTCAATTTCTATCATGTAAACTTTGTTGAAAGGATTTGAATTTTATTATTTGCAATTCGAAATACTCGTAAAACACTAGGAGATTTGAAATGCTTAGATTATTTTAGAATCTTACAATGTAATCGATTTTTAATTTTAGAATCTTACAATGTAATCAATTAGAAAGACACCTATAATTGTAGAATACTTCATAGTTTATACGCTTAACAAGTATTTTCTAAGTGAATTATGCACCCCTTCAAACACCCCAACCAATGAAAAATTCCTGGTTCTATCCCTGTAGATGATAACTATAACAAAGTGTTAACTATAGATACAAGAGAGAGATCCAAATTGAACGCCGTTAAGAAAGGTAGAGCATAACAGCCAATTTAATTCCCCATATAACAATGACTTGGCTTTATGATTCTCAATGTTGTGCATTCATGTTTACTTGAGTAGTGAAGCGTATAAATAAAGCAATAATTATGCAAAATGTGACACAAACAAACAAATCGGGCTCATTAAACTTTCACAAGAAGAACTCAAAATGAATTTAAACTACTCAGGCATATACTTTCTAACAATTGACATCTTTTTTTTTTTTTTGGCAAGCAATAAATGACATCACTTTAAATTAAACATTTAAGAGTTACTACCTTCTCAAGAAAGCTTAGTGTACAGAGCCCTCCTAATTGATTGAAAGAGATATCTACGACAATATTCTGGACGATGCATTTAACAAGCTTAACCTGCCATCAGAGAATCCAGCACCTACGAACATTAGTACGCATCACTAAACCTTTCCTTTGCTACAACCTTTTGGTCTTTGCAAATCAAAGAAAGACATGAAGTAAATAAGTAATGAAATTTTATAGATATCAACCCAGTAGAATAGAAAATAACCAAATGAAAGTAAAATCACAAACTGGATTCAAAATCAACCATCAGAATCCCAAAAATCACAACTTGCTCTAATTCAAGGCGAAGAATACAATAGTAAGGTCTCAAACTTTGAGACATTATGCAATATTTTTAACGCTTCAAGTCTATAGATCCAATATTAAAGAGGAATCACCAAGAACCAGTTTGAGACTCTGTGAACACACCGAAACATAAGAAATTCAGCATAGCATCAATAGAATCAGGTAGCTTGGTTATACCATAGAAAGAAAACACATAAACAAGGTTTCTACGCTTCAAAGAAGATCAAAAAATGAGAAAGGGAGGGGGGTGTTCGAAAGGAAATTTAGGACCCATCTAATTCTGAAAGGAGGATTCATGTACCAAACTAAGCACTGGATGATGCCTGTACCAGACGCATCTCCATTTAGTGCCAATCGTCTGATCTATTATGCAATGATTAAATCAGTCAATGTTGCAAAGATGGTGAGGAAAATAAATCTGTGCAGATAACGGGCATTTCAAAATCCCAGCACTTCTCCTGTACAGTTATGGTTAGGCTTGCAGATGGTAGAAAATTGGATAGAGATTTTGACAAGCCAACTAGGGTTTCAAGGAAGTTTTAATGACGAAGTTCAGTTCAAATAAGAAGACAGTAAGTTGCTTCAAATCATGGATATGGACACAGGATACAAATACAACACATATAAGGCAATATGGCAGATCTCAAGAATACTGGATACAGGTATGGCAAGGATACGGCGCTAAAATAACACCATAAGATTTTTATATTAAATAAATATTTTTTTAATTAATTTTCCATTATATTATATGAATGTAAATGTTATCAACAATATGTTCAAAAATAAGGCAATTAGATTAGGCACAAAGACACAGGAAGAGAACCCTCACCCAAGAAGTTAGAACATGAATGACCCAAAATAATACATATCTAGTTAGTAGAAGCCGGTCATCGAATCATCCTCCCTTAATAGACACCGGATCTCTCTGTGCATTGATGAGTCAATCAGTACCAATACGGGCTTTTAAGTCCTAGATGTTTTATTACCTTTTAAACTATGAATTTTTTTAATATTAAATCATACTCCTTTTTCTAGAAGTATTTACAAATTTTTCCAAGCCATATCCCAGAAGTATCCTGTCGTATTCCAGCCGTAGATTAAAAAATAATATGTGTGCATGTATAAATATATATATTGAAATTTCGCATACTTTCCAGTAATATCCATTCCGATACAGCCACGTGACCCTGGGGAAGTATCTGTGCTTTTTAGGTAAGTTGTGTTATTATCAAAATTAGAGATTTGAGATGAGCAGATAAACAAGGGGAAAAAAAAAAGAAAAAAAAAAAAAAAATGAATGGCAAAATAGGAGGAGGAAGAAAAAAAAAAAAAAAAAAAAATGATATCAAATCTCTCAAACAAAAAATTGTTTTTGATTGAATTAAACGTATCCCACTTACCTATCAAAAGAAAAACAATCCCTCAAACAAAGCACTATGGCTGCAGTCCTCTATACGGTATGAACTAACTCCAAAAAGGTTATAAACGACTTCAAAATCTTATTACAAATACTCGTAAATCATAATCTTTTAATCAAACTAATATCAACCCTTCATTGATATATCATTAAAAGAAGCCTTAAAAATACAAATAACCAAACTTGTTTACGGTAACCATGGTGTGAAAAGCAACTCACTACAGCAACATAAAAGGTAACTCGTTAAAGTAGTATGATGTGTGCCCACTCCAATAATATGCCACAATACTATACAGAAACTCTACTCCAAAATGTAAAACCTACAAATAAATAAAACCCAACAAATATGACTCAACATTAAAATAGCCTCTCACTAAAAAACTACCATGGACATTTCTTCTCAGACTGAAAATGCTTCTTAATTGTCATGGAACCACAACACTGTTTTTTTCCCTTACACTTGAGAAGAAAATAATCAAATTCATCAATATGGAAGCAGGTCCAAGAATACTTATCAAAAAAAAAAAATGGAAGCAGGTCCAAGAAGACCGTGAAATTGAGATGTTTGTTGAGTTAGTAACGAACTTTTCTTTAATTCCAAAGTATGTCTGATCACAAAAGAGTATACTTCTTATGGCCATTAACGAAAGAGTAAATGCTGTCACATCTAGCTTGATCATAATCTCATATCTATGTTTGACCCAAGAGTATGAAACAGAACAGCTCAAGCTCGGTTCATGTTCAAACCAAGCTCAAACAGAATTTTCAAGCTCTATCAATAAATGAACCAAGCTCAAACACCTTCCTACTTGGTTCATTTTTCCATGAACGCGTTTGTAAACAAAGCTTGCTTAAAGGCTCATTTTATGCTCGTGAAAATGTATTATATATACATATATATATTTGGCCCACATATTATAAAAATACATATTAATCTCTTACACTTATATGAAGTCCAGTCCAACCCAACCCAAATAATTTAGTTTCTTTTACAAAACAAAACCAAATTAAGTGCAGTCCATCATGACCCAAGCCCATCATTCATATATATAGATATATTCATCTAACGATTTTAACCCTAGTGTAAGTTTATATCGTCACTTCCATTCTTGCATTTCCATAGTAGCAACAGCAACACTGTCACCCCAACGGTAACCGATCGGCCATTTTCTCCGTTCAAATCCCCTCTCTCTCACCTCCAAACCGATTTTACGGCTTTATTGTTGATGGACTTAGGGTTTATTGTTGATAGTTGTTTTGTGCATCTCTCAACTATAAGTCGCGTCGGCATTAGCGTCCTCCATGGATTATCAAACTCTAGAAAGTTGATTTCTAACCAAATTTATCATTTCTTTGTCTCTATTCCTGTCACTTTAGAGTTGGATCTAGTTTTCATCGTTGTTGCTTTTAGTCGATGCATTTGAGCTCTAACTAGAGAGAGAAAAAAAATTAAACGAACTATCAAGCCGAGCTCGAGCTTTTTCAAACATAGATAAGCCGGCACGAATATGATTTTGTGGGCTTGATTCAAGCTCAAGCCGAGCTCAAACACCCTTGCTGCCTGACCGAGCCGAGTTCAAACACACCACTACTTGGCTCATTTACAGCCCTAATCGTATTAGATACAGATACTTCTCGGATACATGATGTCCACTAGCAAGGCTATAATACCAACAACTTTAGATTGTGGGATGACATGAAAACCGATAGACTAATTACAAGTTATGAAGCATTGATACTACGAGAAAGGGACATATTCGAGTAGTGGTGTGTTAGAGCTCAGCTCATTTAGGCAACAAGGATGTTGGAACTCGGCTTGAGCTCAAATCAAGCCCACAAAATCACGTTTGAGCTCGACTTGTCTATGTTTGACAAAGCTCGAGCTCGATTCGACAGTTCGTTTATTTTTCTCTCTCTTGTTAGAGCTCAAAAGGCATCTGGCAAAAGCAACCAACAATTCGTTTTAAATCACAAGAGAATGTCGACAATGATAAAAACCAGATCCAACTCTAAAATTGACAAAAAAAAATTGATGAATTTGGTTAGAAATCAACTTACCAAAGTTGAAAATCCATGGAAGAGGACAATGTTGATGTCATGATGAGCGCTGAAAGGTGCGTATTTAAACCCCTTAAGCTTAGGCATTCTAGTACCTTTATCTATCTTACTTTACCGTTTTACATTGATTTCGTATTATTTCCATTTTTAAGCACTTATCCCGAAAATAAGCTAACTCAGCCAAATAAGAGCTTAATTGAAGCAATTCTGGGATTAAACAAAGAAAGGAACAAAGTGGAGAAAGAAGAAAGCAAATGAAGCCAAAGGTGGGAAACAGCAAAGTTCGATCGATCCAACTTCAAGGTTCGATCGATCGAACACTGATCGATCTCAGCACTTCAAGATAGATCCAGGCTAAGTTCGATGGATCTCAGCCAGTTCAATCGATCCAAGTCCAAGGTTCGATCGATCGAACTTCCTCCAATGCGAAAAAGTTAAATTTCCATCTCATTGAAAGTTGTCCTTTATCCAATCATTAGGGAATATTGGTCCTTTATCCAATCATTAGGGAATATTTGTGTGCACGACCCCAGCTCATTTTGGGTGTCATTTTGACCTACTTGTATAAGGATAAGGATTGCTTTTTACAAAGGGGCGAATATCATTATCATATCATCTCTTGGAGAGCAAGCTTAGAGGAGGAGGCTAGAGACACCATTGGAGACTCTTCATCAACCAAGGAGCAAATTTCTTCTATGGAGTTAGCCCTTGAGGGTTGGAGCAACATCACCATGAGTGGCTAGACATCCTCTTGGGACTAGAGTTAGCCCCAAGCATGCTTTCTATATCTTAATCTTGTGTATTATTGAGGGATTAGTGTTGTACTTAATGTTTTGACACTTTTACATATATAGATCTTGTTTATTCAATGATTTATGTGGTTTAATGCTTCCAATTGATCATTTCATTCTATCCATATATCTATGTATGCTAGAATAGATGTTCATGTGCTTGTCTCTAGATTTAGTGTTATTGATGCATGTCTATGTGTATTGATGCTATAGATTTGGAGATTGTCAAAACATAGTGCTTAAAGGAATGCTCTTGTGATTCTCTTGATCGTTCATACTTATTCCTTGATGGATTGTGCCTCTCCCCTAATTTATTTTCATGCTAATAGTGTAGATGTAGTGTAGTTGTAGTGTAGTGTTAAATGGGAGGACAATCCATGCTTGTTGTTTGATGATCCAAATTTTCGAATGCAAGTAGCATATGTCTCTAACCTTGTGTTATATTTGGATTATGAGCTTAATGAAAGCATTAATGACTTGTTTTGATCTATTGTGTCTTT